CAATATAAAAATAATAATTTTTTTGATACAAAACTCAAAAAGCAAGAGTTACATAAAGATAAACAAGACCAAACCTGACTTAAACAGACTTTTTAGGATAAAAGGTAAAACAACAAGACTCAAAACACCAAAAGACTCTTACAGACTCAAAAACAACAAAAGCATAATGAAAAAGGTCTGATAACTAAAAGAAGACTTTGATCTCTACAACAGAATCCACCAGCATCACTGTAATCAAGGCTCTTGTTCCCGTGGATACCCGCCAACATTGCGGTATATCATCTCCAAGTCTGCAGATATATGACGAGCAACGTTCAATGATACTTCTGCAAACCGCTCGGGCGTCATTCCCTGGCAACTCCTGCATGATCTTGAGGTATATGTGGCTACCTCGAGGATCTTTCCCTTAATGTATTCCTGAGCCACATGCAACTCTTGATTTTTTCTGACCACATGTCTCAGCTAGATCCAGCGCATCACGCTCACGGTCCAAGGCCATATCTTTCTAGCGCCGAACTTTTAGCGACTCCGCTTTTAACTGATTGATCACCTTTTGGTAGTGGTGTCTTTCTATTTCAAACTCCGCGATCTGGCTCTCCTTACTTGACTCAACTCCCCCTATTTAATCCCTCAGACCTTGGATTAATGGAGCAAAACCTCTACACTCATGATCACGGAATACCCTGAATCGGGCTTCTTTCTCTTCTTGTTGCTGAGCGGTTGTGACTATGTTCTTATTTCGAATTTGGGCTTTGAGTGCTTGCTTCTCTCGTGCCCACTAAGCGTTTTCTCACTCGAAATCAGCCTGTTATATGTCCATGGCTGTCTCCAGAATGCCCTTATCTTCTTGTAAAGTGTCAATACGAGATTGGAACTCTTGTGCCACCTCCCTTCTGGTTTCTCTAAATCTGGCCTTGATTTCCTTCTCCTAATCAAATGCATGCCGTATGGATCTTTCTGGCCTTTGCTCGGGGATATCCTGGTTATGAAACCACTCAAGTTATGCGAGGCTTACCTCCCCCCATTCACGATCAGCTACCATCTCGTCCAAATCAGAAAATCAACTACCAAACCAAACCTTTTGCGCATATGACTCCCTTGGAGGTTCCTCTCCCTTGAATTCCCACACGAACGGGCGCATGTCCTCAATCAGGGGCCTCTTTTGCTCTCTCCCTAGCTGGCGCATGACGCGTAGATATGCATAAGGTTGAAAACCTCTGAAACACATGAGTATGAAGAACGGGCAATACATTAACATATGCATGACTTTAGCAGAAGGGAACTAGTAATAGTTCCAAGTGATTCTATCAGCACTCAATGAACCAAGTAATGTCCGCCAAGCCCTCACCCCCTCTGGAAGATTACAACTCGCAACTCTGTCTAGGTGACATCCAATGTAATTCAACCAATCATCATTGAAATTTACTACTATTGGATGATGATAAAGGTGCTCTATGAACCACATCTGCAACAGAATGTTGCATCTCTCAAAGTAATCTTCACCTTCTTGACAACGGGTCAAAACCCAAAAAATATCTCCCAAAATCATAGGAAGAATGGTATGATCCTTACTACTTTGCAAATACGAGACTACCGCAACCAATCGAATTCTGATGCGCCCACCATGCTCTGGAAAGACCATGATCCCTAGAAATGATATCATGAACGCGAAGATTCTTAACTCCCTCCAAGCGTCGTAACTCAACTGGTTGACGAATTCTGTGCCTGAGAAGTTCTCAAACCCTTTCTCGTCCCCAAATCTATCATAAAAATATTCCGACGAAACCCAACCTTCGTTTAAGCAAACCATTGGAATTCGACGAAGGCATAACTTCTTTAAAAAGTTGTTCACACCAACTTTTCTCGGAGCAACAGGCTTTTTCCCACGAAGGTCTCTTCCCAATCTGGTGAACCCACCTAATTCTTCCAATGTGGGCGTCATTTCACAATCTTTGAACCTGAAGACATTATTCGCGGGGTCCCAAAACCCCACTAGAACCTAGATTAAATCTCTGTTAGGCTTAATTCCCATGATGTTGGTGAGGAACTTGAGGTGCTTAAGTACTCGATTCTGTTCCCATATAGCAAAACTAGCCCACCAATTACAGAGATTACTCGGGGTCTTATCTCTGATCAAGAACATAGGAGGTGTCTCATCCCTTACCTTTTTCTGACTACTTCTTTGTGGAGAACTCATGATGATCCTAAGAATAAGATAAAAAGGGTTAAGACTTACCTTAACCTATATGCAAATCATGATCATTATGTTTTTTTTTCTCTCTTTTTTTTTTGTCAATTTAGGACTTGATCTATTTTTATTTATTTATTATTATTATTATAATCTATATTTTGAAATTACCGGACACAAAAGTTGATATGATAAAAACGGAAAAAATGGCTACTATTACAAAGACGGTCCTTTAATACTTCCATAAAAGGCATAAAGGATGTCTCGGCAAAACAGCCAAACAGAGGAACAAAATGATAAAACATAGACAAAATAATAAATAGTTTTTTAAAAAAAAAAACTATTTTTACGAAAATGACCATTTGCTCCTCCAAGAGGAGTTCAAAAGATGTCTCAGCAAATATAACCGGACAAAACTAGATCAAATGACTACTTTTGCGAAAACAGCCTTTCGGTACTTCCGGAAAGGTTTAAAGCTGCTTTGACAAAATGGCTAGACATGAGGGTAAAATGGTAAAAGGTGACCAAAATAGGCTCTCTTTTTTTTTCGAGAATTTTATGCTCCTTTTTTTTTAAGATTGTGGGCCAAACCCGATGGAGGTTGCCTACGTATTTCACATCCGGTGAGAATCAAACCCGCGTAGTTCGATAAAACTGGATATTTTTCCCTTATATATATATATATATATATATATATATATAATGAAAAATAATCTTAACAACTCACACTAGACTATTTTTTTTAAAGGTTTATTTGCACTAAACGAGGAGAATTATTCCTTTTTTTTCTTTTTTCATTTTCAATAATTACACTAACTATTTTTTTTTAACCGGTCGACAATGCAAGTAAGCCTTCCAAATAATGTATCAAGTAGCACATACGTGAACATGATGGTCTCAAAGGGGATACCTGTCTTATACGGACCCGGCCCCTGTGCCGAGTTTCGCTAAGTCAAATGCACGTGATGCAAATACAACGAACCTACTAGGGATATCCAGCATGAGGTTTGTTCTTCTAGGTTTAAATCTTATTGGAGAAGGTATCTAGACTGGCTTACTCGAGCGGACAACTCGAGCCGAGGAGGGTCAGTGTACCGGTAGCATTGCTTTTCGGCTTAATTGGTGGTTCTCCCCGCCTAAAACATGTGTGACTAAAATCATTCACCGGGTGACAAGCACCTCGGCTATCTTAAAGAAAGCGGGCTATGTCAAGCAAATGCCCAATTTTTAATTTCAAGAAGACTTAGAGGGGTGCGTGAGAAGACAGTTTATATGTACATTTCAACAATATCGAAGCAGTATAAAGCGAACAGGTAGCACATTAGGCACAAATAAATCACAATATATACAAAATTAATAAAGCCAAATAAAAGTCAAAATGTACAAGCTCGAATTCTGGTTGTTCCCCAGCAGAGTCGTCAGAGCTGTCATACCTATTTTCTCCCTCCAAAGATATGGGTATGGGTCAAAGAGTTTTTCCAATTAAAGTGACAAAATTTGAATAGGGATTATTTTATTTACAGAGTCGCCACTTGGAATTGATTTTTGTCGGTGTTCCAAGTCACCTTTTATTTGAATCCCAATTCAAAGGAAGGTTTGACTCTATTATTATTGGTCCATGAAAACAAAGTCCGGATAAGGAATTCTGTTGATCGGGGAGAAGGTGTAAGGCATTCCCCGAGTCCCGTGGTTCTAGCATGGTCACTTTATTGACTACATTTGGCTTGAATTAAACTTGGATAAACTGTGATTTATTTTATTTTTATGCTTTTCTTATGTCCGCTTTTACTTATTTGATTATTAAAAAAATAATAAAATGTCATAATCACACTACGCTAACGAATGTGTAATCTAGACAGAATTTATTAGCTTAGTCATAACAGCACTACGCAAGCGAATCCACAGTCATGACAAAGAATTATTAACACGTTAGTACTTTCAAAAAAAATTACTATATTTGTGCATTGAGAAAATTATTTATTAAGAGTTACTATCGCACTACGCAAGCGAATCCGCGAGTTTAGCAAAGGGTTTGTTAAATTAGAAACTAATTAAAGCTAGTAGAAATAGTATGAGATTATTGAATTAAAATTTTAAGAGTTAATATCACGCTACACAAGCGAGTCCGTGAAATAATAATAATAAAAAAATTAAAACGGGCTTACTAGTTGCATAGCGTTTAAATTAATTAAAGGTACTTAAGTTATTGGATTATTATTACATACCATGAAAATTAACTAATTCTTAATAAGTTTATTCAACTAATCTAGTAAGTATTATTTTGAAGATGGATCATATTATTTATTGAGAAAGTGAGCCAATTTGCTTATTTAGTTATGGCATTGGGCCAACATCTATGAAATAAATAGACAAAATATTTATAGACTTCTTAAAGGCATTGGGCCTATTGGACAGAATCTGCCTTGGCCAATTATTGGGCTCCGAAAATGGGCACAAGCTGAAAGCCCAATAGATTTCAAATGCTGGTTTACTAAGACAGCCGACCTGGGCTAAATTGTGAGTCTGGCCTCTTTTGCTCTAAGCCATTAACCCTTAGCAATTTCAAACACCTATTTAGGATCTAGCCACTTTCTACCAGAAAATTCTAAAATCCTAGTAGAGATGGTCACAGATAAAATCTATATTTTATCAAAATAATAAAGGTTTTAAGCATGGCTCTTTTGTTATTTTTCATAAACTGCCCAGAACTGCAAAGGTGCAAAAGGAGTCTTTAAGCACATTGCAACTTACTAGGAACATCTCATTTTTATATGCATCAAAACTATAATAGATAGTAAAGACAAATAACACATGAATAAAGAGTGTTTGATCAACCAAGGATTTATTTTACATATGAACTACAACAAGATATATTTAAACAATAAAGAAATTTAGCTAAGCACTCATTTATTTAAATGGACATGCTCCGAGCAATCAAGATGAGTTCTCTTGTTAATGTGAAAATATCTGCAACATAAGATTAAAGAGTTACCTGAGTCGCAGAATAATAAATACAGCAACGAAGAATGGAAGCTCAACAACTAAAGCAGCATAAAAATAGCAGCACAACAGCAGCAAACCAGCAGCAAAATCATGTTAAAACAACTCGAAAACTCAGAGAAGAAACCCAGAAACAAACTCTAAAGAGGACTTATACTTTTCAAAAAAAAGGTTTGCACTTTAAGATTCACTCTTAAGACTTACAATTTCAGCTTACTAAAGGATGCTTCAACTGCTAATTTTTTTTGTTTTTGTTTTTTGTATGTTCAAAGCAGAAATAATAATGCCCCCTTCTTCGAAGTGTGATGGAGTCCCCTCTATATATCAAAACAAACAGCTATTTCAAAAAATTAAAAATCAATCTTTTTGACAGATTTTTCTACAAAATCTGCTCTTAAATTCAAAAAAGCAAGACTTTCTGGTTCAAATCTTGTCAAGTATTTCAAACAAAATCTACTCTCCACTATTCAAAGATAGACTTTTATTCAAACAATGTCCAAAGGTCTACATTTACTTATCAAACAATTTAACTTTTGAGTATTGTATTCAAAGAGTCTTGAAGTAGTAAACAAACAACCAAACAAGTACCATATACTCTTAAGTATTTTTCACTACATCACTTTTATCAATCCAAAACTATTTTACTACTTCAACAAGTGCAAAAACAGAAAATTTAACATTTCAAACTTCAAAAACTAATGCTAAAATAATTAATAATAAACAAAAATAAAATCTGAAAAAAATAAAAATAAAATAAAAAATCAGCCACGAAAAATAATAGGATTTTTACCATTTTATAATTCAAGTGGCCGAAAAAATGGTGGTATGCCAAAAGAGGGTGTTCGGGGAGGTCGCCGGAATTTGGCCGTATTTTGATCGCCGGATTTTCAGGGTGAAATTGGCATCAATAGTTAGGTCTTTAGGGGCTCTATCCATTGATGTAAGTATTGTGGGGTGGTCGTGGTTGGAGCTTCAAGAATTTGGGCAAAAAAATGACGAGAAAATTTCTTAGATCTAAGATTCAAGGAGTTTGAGGGATTTTTGAAGGATTTGGTTTGGAGATATGGAAGAAGTTGTGGAGATTACATGGTGTGAATTTGGAGGTGTTTGGAGGTGGTCCGCCGGCGGCGGTGGGCGGAACTGGGGCGACGTAGAGAGAGTGAAGAGAGAGAGAAGAGAAAAGAAGGAGAAAAGAATTATGGGTGAAAATGAGGACAATTTTCAGATTTTTGAGGCTTTAAATACCTAAGTCAAGAGTGAATAAGATCCATTGGATCAAGATGGAATGGATGGGTATGATTTGATCTTGTTTCATTAGTGAAACGACGTAGTTTTGAGGCAAAACTATGTAGTTTCAGACCCTTTCAATGGCAGCCCTTTATCTTGCACTCTTGGACACTTTTTCTTTCAAATTTGGCCAAATTTCTTCCTTAATCCTACTTATTAAACTAATTTTACACAAATAAATTAATTAAATAACTTATTCTAATGATCAATTAACTATATTAATTTATCAACTGAACAACTAGTTAATCCTTAAAATGTACAAATGAAGAAAGAACTATTTTTTTTTGTATTTTATGATAGGAAATATGCAATTAAAGTCACAAAAATTGAGAAAAATAATTAAAATAACAAAACACTAATAACTTTAGGAGGTGTTAAAATAGTGCAAAAATTAGGTGTTCACAGTAATTAGTTATACTACTATTGAGATAACAAGGAGTAAGTAACTCACTGTGATATTCCTTCCTAATGCTTATGATTTTACATGTGCTACTGAGAATGCAAGTGAGGATGAATAGATAACTTTGTCACGCAAACACGTACAACAGTTTAGCCCAGATAACTTTGCCTGCGACTAACGTCAATATTTTCACGTCACTCACGATAGTTTTACTATAAGTAGCACCACTTAGTGAAAATCTTGAGTTTTCATATTGTCGACATATATATATATATATATATAGAATATGATTTGGAGTTTATGATTATACATTATATATTCAGGGGCACATGTAGCGTATAGGTGACGGTTCAATTGTTCATAACTTTCGATGCGGAGCATAAGTTTATGTGTAAAATCTACTAAAATTATAACAAATAGTAGGTTTGAACCCATAGCTTTAAAAATATAATGAGTTCAATGCTAAAAATTTTAAAGGTGCATGACAGGGAAAATAAAAAGGAACAATTTCGACTCAACGTGTACTGGCATTCTACAACAACATATTCAATATTATTCCACATCGTGAATGTTTTGAAATTCTATTACAAAAAAATCAACAATTCCATAGCAGTGGGAAATATGTTTACATCCAAGTTCCAATCTATCCTATGAAATATTTTACTGTGAACCTATTTCTTTTTTGGTCCATTCCAAAAAGAATGATCTCTTTTTATATTGCTCTTTTTTTTTACTTAAACTTCCAATTATACCCTTAATGAGAAGCTTTTATAGCTACACAAATACTCTGACTTGTTTAACACCATAAGTTTCAAAAGATTGTAGTCACACAAATATTATGGCTTGTTTAGGACCACAAGTTTTAAAAATCTTATTTTTTCTTTAAACTCAATGTCCAATCAAATATGTTCACATAAATTGAAACTCATGGAGTGATAATTTTCGTTTAAGGGATCCAAGATAGTGTAAACTCCACTGATTAGGTAAACATTTCTTTGCATATGTTAAATCCTGTATGGAATTAAAAAGTATCTTACCGGGTCCACGTTTTTTAAACTCAGCTTGCTGCGCAGACAGCGATGTAGGACTCTTGAGTTGATGAAGATGGCAGAAAAGTCTGTGACTGGACGTAATTATAACTTGCATTTTCTATTTTAATTTTTATTCTTCTGATGAGAATTGGGGAAGGGAGATAAAGCCAATGAACGTTTGACAGAGGAAAGGGCACCACTGACTTGTGAGGAAATATTGGCAACGGTTTGAGCTGTTGCAATGGCGCAGGCTTATTTATATATTGCATCTTGATGAAGGGAAAATATATTAAATTCTCTTCGACTCTTCAGCCTAATTCTGTGTTGATTGTTCTCGAATCTTTGCATGAAATAAATTGTCAAACGCGCTCTATAACTTTTGTTAGGCTTTGTGAAAGTAGTAAAATTCAGAATGGCCGATTCTAGTATTTTTACTGGAAACGAGTTGCGGCTGTTGTTTCAGCAGCCATTGCATTGTATTTTCTTGCCGACTTCACTTAACTTGCACACTTAAGGCAACGTTTTGTTAATGATCCAGTTATGGATAATCCTAGTATGGATCCCACTGGGAATCCACCCTTAATCACAACTAGTAATGATGTAATCACGGTGTTTAATACGTCTACCGCACCTAGCTCCCTATATATATATATATATACCTTTTTTTTTGAGATGTAAAGCTATTAATAGATCTGTTACACAAATGCTAATATTATTCTTCAAGTAATATACGTAATTGAAAAATAATCAAGTTTTTTATTTATTTAATTGAGTATATTAAATATAATCTTCTAATAACCTAGAGAGATAAAATCTTTGCCACCAAATAGAAAACTAAAAATATTTTTCACGCTTCGATTCAAATCCATTTGAAATTTTCTTTTCCTTTTTTTAAAAATATTATGCTCAAATTTGTAAAGAAAAGTTAATTCATAAATCCACTATTAGTGACAAGAGGGGTCCTTAAACTTTTGGGACCCAACTTTACTTGCGTTACCCAAGGGATGGCACTGTCACACTTGGGAGTCGTTTGGTAGGGTGCATAAGAATAATGTTGAATAGGATGTATTAGTAATACTGATATTAGTTATGCTGACATATTTCTTATCCATTGTTTAGTTTGATGTATTAAAACATCGCACAATTTCTAAAAGAATTGCTTGTTTACAAAATGCCCTCAAAACTAGTTCACACTCTAATTTTTTAAAAGAAATATATGTTGAGAAATATTTTTATATGAAAAAGTTTACAAAAAATTATTTGATTTGTCTACCTATATTGGAAAATAAAATTAAATATTTATTTATAAAAAAGAAAATATGCTAAGTATTTATTTATTTACTAGGGATATAATTTTATTTTTCACTATTTGGATTCTTTTGAGCTTGCATTAATATACTAACTAGCATATTTTAATCAAACATAAATTTTGAAGGACAATTTTGTCTTTAACTAAGCTAATGCATGCATTAAAGCTCATTGCATTGAAGGACAATTTTGTCTTTAACTAAGCTAATGCATGCATTAAAGCTCATTGCATTGCTACTACTTGTTTTCTATGCATTAGTTATGCATAGGATAATACCAAATAGGATGTATAGCTAATGCTTGCATAACTAATGCGTAAATTCAAAATGTGTACCAAACAATGTATTATTAATACAAAAAGCTAATGCATGCATTATTTTATCTAATGCATCCTACCAAACAACCCCTTACAACCCTTACACGTATACAAATTAACATAGACTTTGTGATTCCCGAAGATACAGGACTTCTCTAGAAACTTCTCATCGTACTATAAAATTAGAGGTCCATCAAACGAACCGTATGTACCATATTATCCGATCAATAACTCATGCGCATAGGAGTTCATAAAACACCTATCATGTTTTTAAGGGGCTCGGGAGCACATTGTGGATATTTCATGAAAGTTGGAACTTTAAGGATTCTTAAGTTGGTTTGAGTTGTTGATCTGATTAATAGCATTTTGTTTCGTGTTTCGAGATTTTACATATGTTCATATAGCATAATTGGAATAGTCTGAATCGTTGGAGGAGTTACGTGGGGTTCGAGATGTTCGTTTGTGGGGGGGGGGGG